GAAAAACTTTCTTGTGGCCTACCTCTTATGAACTCTGCACTTTTTAATAATTTCTCCCTCAAATTTAACGTCCTTCCTAGTGGCTAAGACCTATAAGTACCCTGAAGGCCATATCACAGCATTTCTGCTGCAGGATCATATGACACTGGGTTATCACAACATTGTTGATACATTCATTTGGGATGAATCTCACTTTAGGCACAGAATGAGATAAATTCTCAGAGCTACTGACACCTCACTTCTGTCTTTGGTCATGGGCCATGTGTGTGGGCCACAAAGTCAGTTCCCACCTCTCTGTGTTCAAACCTCATGACTCCTCTTGTGCCCAGCATCATAGTGGCAGGTGCCTTCTGCTTAAGGGCTTGAATTCTCGTTTAGGGCAGATATTTCACCCCTTTGTTAGACTCTGTCAGTACATGCCAAGTAGCCTCCTCTGAAGGCTTTCCCAACCATTGCTCTGTGATGTCAGTCAGGCCTTCTGATCGAAGTCTCCTCTTTTCTCTAGTTAATATGGTTACATAATTTGTTGGGCCAGTCTTTAGCCTTGGTGGTCAAGGAATGGACTTTCCTGGTGTGAGCAGGACCATTCTTCTTGTTCAGCTCATGAGGCCCTCACCAATTCCCCCACTGGAAGGCAGCAGTAGGGACAACATTGAAAATTCTAGGAATATAACGATTTTTGGCTAAAGATTTCAAGAGAAAACATGTTTTTGAATGATATGTTATTCTATGTTTAAGCTATAAAATTCTGTATGATAAAATTAACATAAAAGAAAATAACTCACATTTTCTTATCTAGTCTGAGTAAGTCTTGCTTTTGTGGTTATCATCAATACAGTATAGTTATAGAACCTCTAAAGAGTCACTAGAAGCTATCAATTGATGCAACATTGTAAGTAAATTTGTGATTAAATAAATGGTATTAGGGAGGTGGTGTAACAAGAACTATAATGCTTCAATACAAACAGGTTTTACAGAATTATAACACTGTGGTGATGACATTTTTACCTTTTTCATGTGGTTTGAGATATGACATAATTTAGGAAAATATACATTAGACAATAAATATTATGAAAAAATTATTCTTGAACCTGAAAACAAATAGATGGTGCCGGCACACTAAGAAATACCTTCATGTGCACTGACTGAACACCAAATAATACATAATTACTCTTCTCTACCCACTCTTGTAAATATCTTCATATGGGTCATGAGTTTTATACATTTTAAATCAGATAATTTACACAGATTGGGGCCAGAAAAAATATTTGTCCAGGGCCCCTCAAAAGCAGGGATGAGTCTGGATAAACATGTCAAAGAAGTCATAGACTACATTATGAATACTGTCAAAGGAACTCTCAGATTTACCAATGCTGGATTCCTCAGGATTGAAACCTTGTACTTCTGAAGCTGGACTTGGTGGGATTTTGTTCCAGTTGACCTTTAGATTAGAACAGTATCTCCTGCCAAATGAACCACACACTAGTAATTTTGAGTCCTCAGTCAACAAAGAAACAGAGTTTTATCCTCCCATATACCATGAATGTAAACTCAGAGTTCTGGTAAATAACTCAAATATCTGATGGAGCTCCTGAGGTTTGTCCCAGTTTAATCATCATTTTGTTTTGTATTGTTACCAATGATCTCATGAAATCCACACTTTGAAAAGAAAAATTTTGGTCAACTTGAACCAGTTCCCCCAGTGGAAGGCATACTTTGTACATTGTACTTGAGTTTATGAGTAAGAAAAAATATACATAAATGGATGTGATGCAAATTGTCAAAATTTTGACAGAATTTGATTCTGTATGTATTAGATCTAGTATATATCTTCCAAATATGTCTTCAGCATAGTTAATAGTAAGAGTTAATGATGATCTGGCAGGAATAAAGCACCAAGAAACAATGACATTGTCTTAGGGACATTATGTTAATATATCAGCAGTATGTGAACATGTTTTTGAAAGACTGGAAGAGATTTTTTAAACTTGAAGGGAGGTACTGGATAAATAGAATGCTTATACCAATATATTTTATCTAATTACTGTTGTCCTTAGGTGAAGAGCTACTGTTGCCAAGGATGATTCCACAAATATATACACATCCCTACAAGGTAGCAGCCATAATTTAGACATTCAGGAGTCACTGATTATCCACAGGTGACATGCTCCATGCTACATATTGAAACATATTTTTTAAAATGTTCAGAAGTAGTGGAGTACATACAGCATTGATCTTGTTCCTGTGTCAATCTATTATATAAAGGATAACTTTTTAAAATTTGTCACTATTATTACTTTTATTGACAGTTTATGTTACTACAAGTGTTAAATTTGAAAATTTACATATCCAAAATATTAAGAGTCTTTTCTCCAAAATTATTAGATATAATTAAAATTCTACCACAAAGAGAAATCATTATTATAGATATTATTACCTCCCAAATTCAAAACCACATATTGTATGATCCTGGCCTAATATTTGATGAATAAATACAGTGGTAATATAATTTTAAGAAATCAATTAGGCCATGTGTGGAGGCAAACACTTGCAATCCCAGTGTCGTGGGAAGCTGAGGCAGTAATTCAAGGTTAGCCTCAGCAATTTAGTGAGAACCTCAGCAACTTAGCAAGACCCTGCTCAAAATACAAAATAAAAAAAAAAATGGCTATATAGCTTACTGGTAAAGCACCCCTGGGTTCAATCCCCAATACCAAAAACAAAACTGCTCAATTTAGTAGTAATTACTCTAATTTTCAGACCAATTTCTTCTACCAATTTGTTTTAAAACTTGCTATAAAATTTTTTTGAAAATTTTCCTTTTGTTTCCTCATTTAAAATACTTTTAAAGTAAGCATAGGGAACTACTTGTGATTTCAGCTGAGTAAATTTCACATCTTAATGAGAAATTAAATGACTTAAATAAGTGGTTCAGCTTAATATATCATCATAATGGAAGAACCATCTTTTAGGCCCCAGCTGACCTGCTAATTATGTATCTTTTTTAAATCACCATTTTATATATTTTAATTTTTGTGTTATAGGCCACATAAAGACAGATAGACTCTTTAAAATGGCCAAGGAAAAAAATTATCTGATCACACTTGATTCTTATAGTCATCAAAGGGTGTTTGCTTTCAAAAGAATTATTATATTTCCAGCTTGTTTGCCTTGGGGAATGTCAATTAAGTCCAAATTATTCTATGACAGAGATTTTGCCATTTTTAGAGACAGGGTAACTGAACTAGAAATAACAAAAATCAAATGAGAAATGAAAAAATAAAGTTTGATATTTACCTTCGAATTGCTTATCTTTCAATTAAGCATTGGTTTACCCTTGCCAAAAATAAGCTGTTTTCATTTCCTGCTAGTACACAATTTCGTCTTTTTAATACATGCTTGTACTCAGCACTTTCTGAAGAGCTTTGTGTTATCTCTGGTATCTAGTACTTACAAGGAATCACTTTGAGTGTGTGTGGCCTGATTCCTAACAGCCTATTGATTCATTAAATTTCATGACTTTCAGAAAGAGACCAATTGATTCTCTATGCTGGCTGGCAAAACAATTCTTAATTTTTGTCTATTTCTTCTTAGCATTGGTCTTAAGAAGTACAGATTTTCTTTACATAGCTTTGAAACATTTACTGAATCCTACATCACCAAGAACATTTTAAAGCTTTATTTTGTCTGTTATTTAAAGTGGAAAATGCTGTCCCTTAAGACACTGGCACTCTGCCATTTGCCTCCAGAATATTTCATGGTTCACTGTCAGGACTGCTGCTTTTTCTAGAAGAACATATGGGACATTTTGGAGACATTTTCTGAAATATTCAGATGCTGAACATGTATCTATTTACATTTTGTCTCCAACGAATAATAGTTCTAGAATTTTAATAACTTACAGGTTCTTTGCAACTTTCTGAAAGTATATTAGAGGATAATGAGTCTAAAGGAAGCTTTTGATTTGGAAGTAGAAGGGACTAAATTATTTAATGGAAGCAGAATTTAGTACCTTAGTATTTCTTTTTTATGATATTATTATATTTCTTTCTGAAATGTTATCCTTTCTTCTTTTTCCTTTTCCATTTTTTTCCACTGATTTCACATAAAAATTGAAAATGAAGGGAGAAAATTCTCCTGAACTCTGTGATGTTGATAAATAAGTCGTGGGAATGTATTAGGAGTTGGCACACACTTGAGGATGATTGTGTTATTAAAATTGTATCCAGTCGTCAATCTGGGTATATCTTTCCTGAATTGTTTCGAAAACACTCTTCTCACTGAAACACCTGTTCTGATTGTGAACATTTTGAGTCAAACAAGTCAAACAAAATGCTTTTAAAACAAGTAATTAAAATTGAAGTACGATATATTCTGATTAGATGGGACAACCCCCACTTTAATATAATAGTTTCCCACTTTGGCACCATCTGTTATATTGATGACTAGATCCTGGCAGTTTCTCTTAGAAAGAAACTGCTTTCTTATATTATTGTTCTTCCAGCTTGTCTCTTTACTGGTGACTCGCTGAGCAAGTCATTGATTTACTAAGACATGGAACTGGCTGCCTTTTAAATGAGAGCTAGTTGCAAATAGTGCTTTGGTGATGAGTAAAAAAGGGAAGTTAAAGAAAAAAAAAAACAACTAGAGAACAACAACTGTGTTCTGGGTTGGGAAATCACTAGTGACTCAACAGTCAAACGCCTCGGCATAGACTTCTGTTTAAGTAAGTCTTGGGTCTTGCCAGATCCTGAGGAGTTGAAAAGTTGAGCAGAAGGAAAAAAAAAAGTAGTGATGGTGGTAGCAATATAAAAAGGGGAGTTACAAACACATGAAAGAATATCTGTGTCACCACATGAGACATGAAGTCAGAGCTAGACTTCAGAGAATGTGTCCTTTGTGGAAACACAAGGTGAGTATGGTCATGTGTTGTACAATTTCAACTTTTTGGTTCTTCCTATGTTGCAAATATATAAGTCATTTGGTTGTCATCTTGCCAGGAAAATAGGAAGCTTGGGAAGAATCTCAATAAGTCTGGAGAATCAGAAGAATCTCTAATCACCCTGGCCACATGGAATAAAGAAGCTGATCACCCAGATTCACTCACAACTGGCAGGAGAGAAGGTGGGTGAGACGAAGGAGAAAGTTCTTTATTCACTGTCATATTCTGCTACAGCCAAAAGAAAAAAGCGAAATTATTGGAGAAAGGATCAAAGTAATTCTTTACTTGTCTGGTTGATGACTAATTAGTATATTTAATTTTCCATAGACCATGATATGATGATTTATATGGAAACATAATATAGAAATGGCATTTATCTTATTTATCTACTGTGTTCTACTTAATATTTGAAAATGTGTCTCTATTAAATCTGCATATAGAGATATCCTAAAAAGGAACTTTGGAAGACTGTAACATATTATACACTTTTGATACATTTACTACTAGCTCCCTATATAACCATTATCTCCCCAAACCTAATTCCTCTCACCCATCTGATGTTTTTATTTTTACTTACACAGAAGCACTATATATTGAAGTTAAAACTTAGAGTACAACACATGATAAGGTCTTATGAGAGCATTTACTAGATACAGACAAAATTTAATTATTTTTATTCTAGAGATATAATTTTGAATTCTTCAAACATGTGTTATAAGCAACCCATTCCTCGTTTATTCAAAGATTTCCAAATCTTGAACTATATTGCAGTATAGAAATGAACAAATTTTAAATCTTACTACCTCAGAAAACTGAAGATATTTACAAGATTCATGACTATAATGTGCAAACATATCTGCACTGTCTCATCCAGAAGCAGAATAATCCTCAAAATGTGTATTTTTAAGAGAAATTCTTAGAGAAAAGGGTATGAAAGAGGAAGAGAGAGAGAGAGAGAGAGAGAGAGAGAGAGAGAGAGAGAGAGAGAGAGAGAGAGAGACTATTATATTTAAGTTAATATACCATATTATTATCTTAGATTTTCTCAAAGAGAGTTTAGTTTCCAAAAGTACTAAAAGACCTTGATATAGTGAAGTTGTATCTTTGACATACTCCTTTGGTGTTTCATAGTTTTTGCTTTTCACATTCCAAAGCAGTGTTTCTGAGGTCCAGTGTATTTACCAGATCTCCTTCCATCAGTAAACTTCATGCTTAGACTGTTTACATAGCCCCAACTTGCAAGGAATACTGGAAGTCAAAGAGCAGAGGGAGAAAGCTGTGATAACTGCAGAGAAAATGTTGTGATGCCTTCTATCATGTTTAGAATGTGTGCCCCATGTGCTCAGGAAAGTGATCAGATGAAGAAAATAACATTCATAAAATCTTTTATGGGACATTTGATCAATAAATATTTTAAAACCCAATGGCTCTTAAGTATTTATTCTTATTAAAAGAGCAAAAATGATGACACTTGATTTTTAGTGAAAATAGGGGTTCAGTCCCAGAGAGTCATCAACATGTTTTTTCACCCAGTTTATGATATCAGTCAACTGCTCTTCACCTTGGATCCATGATGGACAGACACCACCAATGCTCCACCATTCACCTGGAACTGTGGGGAAAAAAGTCAAATCATACCCTGACCTTGGGATCAAGGCCTTTTCCTTCTGTAACATGTCCAACCTGTGTGGCACAAGGCCATTAAGAGGAGTATGACATGTAGTATCATAACATCATGAAGCTTATTTTTATGCATTGTGAAAATATATTGAGCTCTAACTCATCGGTGCAGAATAAGAAAAGCCAACCATATAGGTTGCATATTGTTGTACTTAGAATCACCACTAGGACATAGTTATTCTGTCTTCAAAGAAGAGATTTTCTAGTCATACTGTGTTAGTTTTTAATTTAATAAGCCCTGTTACACTTCAGTATGAATACTAACCATGTCAGAGCCAAGCTTAATGCTAATATTACAGCTTAAAGGGTTTCTTCCCATAGGTTCCTCTCATCTAAAGAATATATAGCAAATGTTGCTTGGATTTATGTTTATGGTTCAAGTGCCACCTTTACCTTATATCCACATACCCCTTTTATACTATTGGGTTTTAGCTATTAAAAGGGAAAATATTTAGTTTAGTTGGTGGTAATTTAAATTATAGACCAGTCCTCAGTATGTCATAAGGCATATGATTTTTATACCAATATCCACTCGAATATTTCCAATGGTTAAGCCAGCTTCCTCTTTGACATGCTTAGAAGAGACCTTAGCTTTGACTTTTTATGCTTTCGAATGCACTATGAATCATTCTGCCAAAAGCCTGCCCTTCATGTGAATGATATATTTTATTTACACTCTTAGAAAAAAATCTATGCATGGCCATTATTAATCACTCACACCTTTAAGAATGATCTTACCTTTTAGCTATTCATCAAGATCGGTATCCTTCCTGTTAAAAAGAGACACATCATAACTGATGTACAATCAAACTGTGGATGGGTCCAAGTACACAGCTATTACCAGAATAGATGTTTCTTCATTTTAGGATTACAGACACCACACACACACACACACACACACACACACACACACACACACACACTCAAACACATACATGTCTCTGTAAGTTGTATCAGTTCTGGAAACTTTTTTTGAAATACCACACTGCTAAAACTGTGTTGGCTTTCAGGTAATACATCACTATGATTGAAGAATAGCATACCATTTCCCAAAGCTACTCCTACCCAAAGCAAAAACAGTAAGATGTTAGATGATTGGAATTAAGGATGATTCAAGATAGTATATCTAGATAACAGAGAAACGAGGTTGAAAGTGCAACAAATTTAAGTTACTATTGTACAAACATCTTGACTTCAAAATATGTATAACCTTAAAAATATCACCAAAATAACCATATCAAAAGAGAGACATTTAATTGTACAGGTAGCACTTTAAAGTTACAAGATCAAGAAAAACATTGTTGCTAAGCTTTAAATCTTTGAAGCTTTGAATCTAAGACAGACGCTAAGTACTCTCTTTTCATCAGAATGTTTAACCCTCCAGGCATTAAGAAATTACTCAATAGAAAAGAAAATAACCATGGAGGAAAATGTAGCCAACAATAAAGCTTCTTAGAGTTTTTGATGGGCCCTAACATCGAACAAAGGCAAATGATTCTCTGCCCACTACCAAACTCTATTTGTTGAGCTTTTTATTATTTAATTTTTAATTACTGGCATTAAAGTCTTCCACAGAGAAATTTTGAGATATCTATTCTGTTGTGGATATATTTCTTACTGATTTCCTGACTTCATAAAAGATTTCTAATACATAGTCTTAAATCCCAATTTAGATTTTTATAAGAAAACCCTAATGCAAAGAAAGGTAGACCCACGGCAGAAGTTGTTGCAGATTAACAGGGTTATAAATATATATTATCATTGAGTGTCTTAAACACAGAGTAGCATTTGATCTTTCTTATGCTGAACTTGATGGATACTTACAGTGTGCTTGATATTGTGTGGAATGTTGGCAGGAGTAAAAAAAAGGCAAGTGAAGTATTCTGTTTTTCAAGGTGCTCACAGTCTAGTCTAGTCTATGACACTCATGTGATACTAAAAACATTATAATGTGACATGAGCTATGGTATGCAGGGAAACTCCACAGGAAAAGTTATTTTTGAGAATTGCATTTGATGCACACTATAAATACAGTTTAGAAAAAAAAATTTCTATATTTTTAAAAATATCTTCTCAGGCACCTATGCAATTCTGTGATCTAATATATTGTGCCACTTTAAAAATAGAACCCCACTTTTTTTTCGTATCAAACCAGTAGTCTCATACAATGAGAATGCTACTTTAAGCCATGGTAAATTCAGAGCGGCCACATTCATGATCTCCATGTTTCAAAGGAAGGCAAAGACAAAGGGATACCCCTGTAGGATCTGGATTACTGTTGCCTGTTATATCTCAGCCGCCAAACCTGCCTGAGATATGCCCAGATTAGTCAACAAGCAGATGATTAGAGAGAAAACCTCTCATTTTGGGATAAATTTAATCAGGCAGCATGTGCTCTTTGGTCATTTTATAAATATAGCATTTTAGAACAGCACTCTCAGAGATCCAGCAGTGCATATCCAGCATTGTAGCTAAAATATTCAAATAGAAATAAAAATAACTCCCCAGAAAGTTGCTGGCATTCATATTTCCTTTGGAGAATAATTACAGAAGTTGGTTTAAAAGCTAGCATAAGACATGTTGAAACATCACCTCACACCCCCTAGCTAATGACTACTTGTATTATAGTCAAAGTAAAAGTTCCAAACCTTCTCATTCTTGGACTTAGGACCTCATAATTACTGTCCACAACCAGAATCCCTGGAAGGAAACAGATTCCCCAAACAGTAAGGAGATCCATATATTTACCTCAGGAAGGTGTAGTAGTTCTAATCCTATTATTTTATAATCCTATTACTATAATGTTTAGATAAATTGAATACATTTCCTTCCTTGTCTCTGTGCAGTCTCATGAGTCTCTTGTAATAATGGCTTTTTGGTGGACCTTATAAAGAGTTTTGCTTCTTAAATTCTTAAAAAGAATATATGCAAAACCTTTGTGAAATTAGTTTATGGTAGCACGCAGTGCTGTGTCTCATGACACTTCATAACAAAGCTAGTGACACAGTAACTGCATATCCAGCCCGTGATTTCTTGCTTTTTATTAACCCAACTTATTATTACATCAAAAATCATGGTTTCCACTGACTACAGATTCAGCACACACATATTCACACTAATGTGTGTGTTTATATGTGTGTGAAATAGCTACACAATGAGTTATTGAGTTGTATATGGCAAAAATGCTAGGCAACTGCAAATTACAAGAATATAATGCCATCGAGGGGTTTAATGGTGACATCATAAATCACAAAAGCAAGGTATAAATGAACTGTGCTTCCCCACAACTCTATGATGCTACTAGAGCCATGATTTTAAAAGTCATCTACTCTCTCTACCACCATTCCACTGTACATGGGTAATTTGTGTTATAATTTCCATTTTCTATTTTCTTGCTTTTCCTCATCAACTTCAGAGGTTTTTAAACCCCCAAATAATTGATTTCTCCCCTGTTCTATTAGAGAAACTATATTTAAATGTAACACCCAATTGTCCCAAGTTGAAATCTAACAATTCTGAAAATCTTGGCATTCTGGGATAGGTGTCACACTCAGGTGATATGACAGACAAGTGACAACACACCCAAGAATTAAGAGTTTTTTTCCTCTTGAATGAAAGTGTGCCTTGTGAACTTCTATCCTTTTTTCCTCCGAGACCAGGAAATCTAATTACATATAGTAGCCCCATTATGACTGCAAACACAGAAATGATTTTATAGTTGTGCTTTTTATTCATATCTGAAGTTCAGTGAATTCAAGTAATATTCTAATTTATTTCTTATGTCCTAAACGATTCCCCTTTCTCTCTGATGCTGTCGTACAGAGGAATATATTAACATAAAATAATAACTGGCCCAAACTTTTGTCCAGATTTAAATATGTCCTAGCAAATCTAGTCCTAGTCTAATTGCTTTTATGTGTCACTTTAAGG